TATACTGAAATAAATACTACAGATTAAAAAAAAATGTGTAGTGTTGTCCACTCAACATGTTTTGGTCAGTAAACTGATGTAAATGTTTAAAGGTCCATTGTGTAACTTTACTGTGGAGGGTCGATCAAATACTTTTGTCCACGGAAATGTTATTGCTTTGTCTGGGATGTTTCTCAGCATGACATTAAACCTTTGTGTTACCAGACCAAGTTACAGATCATATCTGTGTAGAGGCGACTCCACTCGCAATCACATAGTCTGTTTTTCTATGTATTTTTGAGCAATAAATCCACTGTAATTGAATAAATGTAAGGTAGAGTAGTTTAATGTCATACTGTGGAACATTCTAGCAGAGTAATGACATATCCATACAAACAAGCAGGTGACAGACCCTCCACCAGAAAATTTACACAATGCACCTTTAATATATTTTCTTTTTTTATATAGGAGAAGCTTCACTGGATGCTGAAAGCCCAGATTTCGTCCCCTCTGTTTTCCCCCATAAACAGCAGAATAGCATCCCGAGTGAAAAGATGGAAAGGTAAGGTGCTTAGAAATGAAATGTGCTGAAAGATGAACTTTCCTAAATGGTGTCGTGGCTTGGACTGGACTAGATTCAACTGTTGAGACTGACAAAGACGAGAGAGAGTTGGCATTTCGTTGTCGCCTACGTCACTTGAAATGGCACCAGAAGAGAAAGACTCACTCTTATGTCATAGATCACCCTCTGTCCTCTTAGAGAAATTTTGTATTCACTATATATTTATTTTTACATATCACATATCATAACATATCAGTATATTTGTATGTATTGTATCCATGTGTCCAAATAAATTCCCTTGTAGATCAATAAAGTTTGCCTATGTTTTCTTTCTTCTTTCAGGCCGGCAAGAAAAAAGAAAAAGGAACATCGAAAAATGCTGCAGAAATCCACAAACAAAGGTGTGTAACAAACATTTCCTTATCCTATATCTTCCATATGTCCTAATTTTCTTGTGTGTAAAACTATTAGGACTGTATTACTTGGACAATGGAGTGTTGGTTGACCTAAATTTGTATTGGTCATTTATTGGTCATCATTTAATTCAGATTATAGGGTTTTTTTATGGGACAACAGCAGAAAGCAAGATTAGAGATTAAATTCATGCATCACATTTTTAATCTTTTTTATATATATTCCTTCCTTGTACTCTTTTCTGCATAAATAATAGTTTTTACACGAAGCCCCTGTGCAGGTACAGTCTTGTGAGCATAGTTTAGGTTGGATGCAAAGTGATGGGTAATAGTAGAAAAATCACAGGGGACTGAAAAACATTGGGGATTTTTGTAAAATCAATGAGTGAAACACTCAACTCTGTTAATCTGAGGAGAGATAATTGAGTACATTTTATTAATAATGTGACCAATGAGCTTCTCATGCATCACTGAGAAAACAAAAGACAAGTGGGGCCATTATTTGCTTTTTTAGTGTTTCAGTTATTGGCTTTAAATCTCCAGCACAGGCTGATTTATATTTTAAGATAATGAATCTAACATATTTTTCTTATAACCTTATAGAAATCACAAAAAGAGGATATCCTGGAACTGCGGTTAATTGCTCCTGATGCTGTTGTCCTTACCAGCATTGAAAAAAAGTGACACAGACACAGCGTCTGAGTGTGACAAGGTGGAGGATCCCCCAGAGCCGCCAGAGCCACCCACTGCTGCGCACGACCCCGCCCTTGAGCAGCAGAGAACAGCAGCAGACCTAAAGGAATCATGTAAGAAGGCCTTTCAAAAGAGCAGAAGAAACATCCATACTGAACAATGTGAGAGACTGACTATTTTCCAATATCCTCCATCTGTGACTGCTTTACGTTAAGTAAATTTACAGACATGTGAAGGGTTAAAAGGTATATATTAGGGATGGGCATTCGATAAAATTTTCTTAATCGATCGTCGGGAGAATTAACGATTGATTAATCATTGACGTTTTTATATTAAAATTGTCATCATTATTATTTCTATCTGCACTACTAATCTGCATAAATAAATTCAACTTTACAACATATAAACCGTAACCACTCTAGAGTCACATCAGCCTGTTTGACATTTTTTGCGCAAGTCTCACAGAAACAAAACTTAAAACCTCATGGCTAATTTGCATAAACTAAGTGAAGTAAAATGTGGCACGACTCAGCGGAATACAGGTTAGTGTGACCATATTTGCATTTGTCAAAACCAGGACACCGTACGGGGGATGGGAGTTGGGGACTCGTTATTGACATTGCACTACTCTCACCTGGCAAAACTTTTTCCCACTGGACACCGAAACATATGTGCTTCTTTGTACACTGTGCACATGGACTCACACTTGTCCCGACCGGGATGGAAAGCGTGGAATTTCTTGTACAAGTCATCGTTAAATACACATTTGCACTTTGGCACGTTGCAGGCTGACCGACTGCCTGTGTGTCGCTCTTTCTGAGTGCAGAGAGATACATGTACAGACCCCTGTTTGGTCACGCTACACACAGCAACCTACATTCGGATTGTCGATTAAAATGAACGTAATCGATGAAATTCTTAATGATCAATTATTGATTAATCGACTCTTCATGCCCATCCCTACTATATATCAACATTTGTATTTCTGGAATTGAATAGAGCAATAATTACATTCATCAGTCTGGTGTTACTGATGTGAAATTATCCATAAATGTTGACACCGTGTCGAAACGACGGTGAAATCGGTGAAACGAGGGGGTGTTTTTTAAACTTTTAAGCATTCTACCATGTTACAACGTTTCCTCATCAAAACATGCCTGAAGAGGTTTTAGATATTATCCATCCATGCAATTTAATGATCTCTCTCAGGCCCTATTGAAACCCTCCCTGTGTTAGCAGTTAAATTACCATCTCTTTAATGAACTGTTCCCAGTGACTTGCATTAACATTGTTACGGCCCCAGGCAATGTTTGAGTTTGTTGTCAGCTTTATGAAATCACTTTTTGAATGCTTAACATGAAGGATAAGAACAAAAAAAACATTAAGAGCACTTAACATGTAGATTCACTTTTGCCCTGTCTGACCTGTATTAAAAGTATAATTTTGCATCTAAATTACACATTTTTTATTCATAAGATTATATTGTGACCCAATCCCCGGTCTTGGCTGCACTAGTCAGTGGATCTACCCTATAAATCTCATAAAAAAGTAACAGCTGATTCTAGTCCAATGAGATTAATTTGGTCTTCCGATATTTTATGTTATTAGGTTCTTTTTTCAGACCAAAAGTTTAGAGCTAGTGAGCAGTCGAAACTGTCAGGTATGAAAACAAACTCTTGGTCTGAATAAAGAACTTAATAATATAAAACAGCTGATTCTGACCAGCCCCTGCTCTCTGCTTGGGAATGAGATTATTTCACATTTAAAAAATTGGGAAAAACAACCAATTTTTTCAATGCAAATATTTTTGTACTCTGTGATGTTAATTTTGTTTTCTGTGGATTCAGTTCTCAGCTTTAGCTTTTACACTGTTTGAACCTGTTGTTGAACATACAGTTTGTAGAGTTGGGGGAGTTTTTGTTTATTGTTGTTTCATTGGTTTATGATTATTACTGCACAAGGTAAAATGTTGACATTATCTTACACTAAATTACATTTTTGTTTATATTGCAGGTGGTCCCTCAATGGCAAATGAAACGTAAGTCTGTGCTACTCACACTGCATTTATTCAACTCGTGCAAATCTGAGCAAATAACATGATTTATTTTTTTCCAGACTGAAAAAAAAGGAGGACAAAGTCTTGGTGCCCAAATCAAGTTTCAAAGATATCATTACTGGTAAGATGAATACACTGACAATTACATTTTAAAAACAAAGATTCAGTTCACATTTTGCAGTGTAAATATCACAGACTAGATATTTATTGTAAATTAATAATTATTATAATTGATGACGTTATAATAGCTTCCTAAATAAATGCTGTGTAGATGATCCAGCTCATCACAACAATTCAAATTATGATACAAATTTTTGATCTGATTATTACTATATAAGATCACCTTGCATTTTCCCATATAAGCTTGAGAATCTTTCAACTACTTCCTACCCCCTCCCACTGCCCAAGGTTCCCAAATTTGTTGTTTACAATAAACAAAATATAAAATAATGTATGTTATAGTTTATTACAAAGTACCAGGAAAAAAATATTTGCCTGGGATCCATGATACACACTTAGTTTGGTCACCTTTGAATCTTCTTGAGTTCCGATGGGCTTGATTGACAGGTGGATTAGCAACAAATATGGCTGCTTACGAGGAATTTGTGGATTTCTGCAGAATCAATGAGCAATTTTGTCTCACCTCAGGTTTAGTGGACCAAACAGAAAGGCAAAGACAATGTATAAAAATAAGTTTAAATTTAATAAAGTAAAAAAAAAAAGATATAATTTAACAAAAGCTCAAATTAGGCAAATTGTTAACAAAAAAGATGGGCCCAACTGGGGTAACTTAAATCAAACTGAACAGAACAAAACTAACCCAACCAGACAAAGTAACAGAGGGGTTTAAATACTTGAGGACCAACTAAAGCTAAACACAAGAGGGAGGAGACACTAAATAACTGACTAAACTCCTAACTTAATCAAAGTTTAAAAAAAGGCAATTATAATACAGAAAATAAGTGATAATAAAGTGACCTTAAAGCAAACTAAACTAACTAACTTAGTAAAACTAAATAGTGCTCCCCCTTTGTGGAGTCCTCGATGGTCTCTCCCGATGCTCCTCCATCCGGTGTTCCAAAAAACAAAAAGGACAAATGTAAGTAAAAAAAGTAAAATGTGTGCACTCAAATTAGAATATAAGTGTAAATCAAGGAATTAAATTAAACTATGTGGTGTGTGGTGTAATTAATGTAAATGAAATGAAATTAAATAAAATACTGACACTATGGAGTGGTGGCAGAAGTATTCAGGTGAGATAAATTTTAATTGGTTTGTTAGTGATAGGTGACCAAGGAGCATCACTGAAAAAAACATCTGATTGCTTGCTCATTCTCGACTTGTCGGGCAAAATAAATATAGTATGTTCAATATGTTTTGCTTTTTTGTCCAACAGGTAAAAACATAAACTATCAAGACTTGAAAATGCAACACAGCGTACTCTACCAGGCCTACACCAAACTGTTAGCGGAGGCTCAACAACTACGCACTGACAACGAGAAACTGCGCAACTCCCTCCAAAGTGATTTCTCCAAACTCTCCTACCGCTTTTTAAAATGGGACGCCAAACAGATCAGATTTCTCACCGGACTCCCCTCGGTTGCATTTGACTGGCTTCTTTCACGCATCGAATACAACGTCATCAGAGTTCATCCCGAGTTCAAAGCGGAAGACCACCTTTTGATCGTCCTGATGAAATTAAAAATGGGGCTTTGCGACGACGATTTGGGCTATCGATTCCGAATGAGCGGAGAAATCATCACGGCAATCTGTCAAACGTGGATTCCCACCCTGGCCGTCCTGCTCAGTCCGCTCATCGAATGGCAAAGTGACGACGTGATCCACAAAAGCAAGCCAGACATATTCAAGACGAAATTCAGGAAATGTTGCTGCTTTTTAGACTGCGTGGAATTCGCAGTAGCTACACCCAAAGGCGCCACAAAACACGTCAAGTATTTCGTAAGCACCACTCCGGCTGGGGCCATTTCGTTCCTGGCACCGGGGTTCAACAGGAGTGTTTCAGAACAGCAGGCCTTAAAGATGTCAGGGTTCTTCGAATTGTTTAAAACTCCCAGTCAGATTTTGGCCAGCAGGACTTTTGCGATCAAAGAAGAGCTCGCTAAAATCAGAGTGACCTTACATACTCCAGCCAGGGGATTCACAGCGGACTCGGCAGTGTGGAGCCATGTGAATGTAGTGCTTGGTTGGTGGAAGGACTTCGGAATATTTCAGACGGCTGTACCGGCGTCATACGAGGAGATGATGAATGACGTGGTGATGGCCTGTGCCGCTCTCACAAACTTGAAAATGAGTCTAGTTCCAAACGTCGTCAAAAATCAGAAACGAAAAAGAAAAAGAAAAGATGCTGTGTGAGTTTTGATTTTGTTCGTTTGTTTATTTGTTGAGGTCTGTCTGATTCGTTTAAAGTTACAGTATGTGACGTTCTGGACATGAAACAGTGGAAGGAGAAAGTTAAAACCATATTTAGATTACTTTCCGTGGAGTTAGAGAAGTTGTGCAATATTATAGCCAAAGGAACAACATTTCTGTGGAAACTTGCATTTCCAGACCAAATAAGTCAAGTTTGTGGAGATGAGAGCCTGCTCAGAGTAATTACCAATGTTTTTTATGTGTTTCAGTGCAATAAAAACAACCAAAATGAAAAAAAAAAAAACTTACACAAGCAATTTAGTGTAAGTTTCATCTTGTACTGTTGGAGTACTCTTAAGCTTGTGCACCTGCATCTAGGATAGTATTTTGCTTAAACCAGGCATGTCCAAACTATGTCCCGTGGGCCAAATGCGGCCCTCAGACAATTTTTTCTTGACCCTCAGGCTTCCAGGTGAACTGGCCCATGCCTGCCTTATATCAATTAAAAATTAACTTTTTACTGCAAGTTTTTTGAAAATCTACCCTGATAAAGTTAATATTTAGTGTGTGGTTTTAAGGATCTTAGCTTGAATAAAGACTGCTGGCTCATTCTAACATGTTAAACATGCACATATTTCAATTATTCACTGTAATGAGCTCCAGTCAACGGCCCTCGATCAGCCCTCTGCTTCGTCTGTGTTTAGAGATGTGGCTCTTGATGAAAAAAGCTTGGACACCCCTGGCTTAAGGTAAAGAAAACTTTAAAGCAAAGGGGTATACTAGTTTAGTATATAATGTCATGTTTTGTTTACAGTTTGTTTATTAAATGCCATTCACTGCATACATTGAATAAGATCATATTTATATTTCCGTCGTGTGTATTTTAATGGATGAGTTCACCTGTTACTTCTGATCTACGCTGGTATTAATTTGTTTAGTGAGTTTTGTTTTAACAGTGCCTCATAAGCCTCGAGTAAAATAAAGATTTTATAATGATTAGTGTTTGATTTAAAAAAAACAACAAATGAAAATAATTGTTTTGTTGGAAATGTTTTGGTTATTACAGGAAAGACCCAGCAGATGGCAGCATGGTCAAGTATTTGAGCACTGCCAACGCCACAGAGTTTCTTAAAGGTGCACTATGTAACTTTTCCTTTGGCGTCCACTGGTTATTGCTTTGCCTGGAATTTCTACAATACAGCATTAAACTTGCCTCCTCCTAATCTATCTCCACGGAAATAGATTTGAAGAAGATAGATTAGAGCTGCTGCTTTTTGTGATTTTTGTTCTGAAAAAAAGAACAAAGGTGCTGAGCTGCAAGCAGAAGATTTGCTCTTGTAACAGGTAACAAACTCCTTTTTGTTTTTAAAATAAAAGCCAAACAACAGTACCAGTCAAAAGTTTGTTTGGACACACCTTTTTAATATATTTCTCTTCTTTATTTCCATGATTATTTGAATTGTAGATTCTTACTGAAAGCACCAAAACTATAAGTGAACACATGAGACGTAGCAAGCAAAAAATAAACTTAAAATTACTCGTTTGAAATAAAAAATAACCTCATCTACCCTCTCGTTTATCACTGCTTTGAAAGGCACAACTGTGAAGTAAAACACATTTCCAGAGATAACGAGAAGGCCAAAGGTTTGCAGCATTGTCATCTAAACGCAATTTTGTAAATAAAGAAAAGTGTTTGTTGTTTTTCGCAGAAGTCGTCTGAAGCCTGGTGAAAGCAGAAGTTGGTGGAAGTCACTCATCACCTCTTCACAGGCGACACACATGAGCCACTTCACTTCTTTTAACACTTAAGACTGTTGCTTCTTTGTCTGCAAAAGTAGAAGTATAAAGTAGGTTCAAGAAATTGCTCAATTAAGAGTAAAAAAAAAATATTTGTAAAGAGTAACTGACATAACATCTGATTTAGCATTTGCAGTTAATGTAATTTGAAAGACAAAACAAACAGTGCACAGAAATCTGATATTTTCAAAGGATGGACACACAGATGAGGAAAAAACTAAATCGTATCTGGAGAAAAGCTGCAAGAAACAAATGTTTAAATAATTTCATATTGGCAACATGAAGCTTTTGCCACTGCAGACTTACTCACAGTGGGAAGAGAACTGTTACTGTTATTAAAAAATATTGCTCAACATATCAAAATGTAAAGGAGATGCATCACAATTTTACAAATATTCATTATTATTATGAGAATTAACCCATAGGAAGCTAAACATACATGATACTAGATTAAATAATACTAGACAGATGATCTTGTACCCCAATACATTATCTTTAGTAGCCTATTTTTTAGCTATACATTATATAAAAAATGTTCTAGTTCTAGTTTCTTTAAGTAAATGAAAAGAGACAAACCATGTTAATATTTTATTTATTTTTCAGTCAAGTCACACATCTACATTACTATTTGCTTTACAATTACATTGATCTCAACATGACTTGTGTAGGGTTACTAAAACAAAATCTCAAAGCTCGTAACAGTGGTGGAAAGAAAATAAAGTAAAAGTACAGTTACATGGCTAATAATGATTCACATCCAAGTACAACTGCCAAAAATGAACTTAAGCACAAAAAGTATGCATGAGAAATGCTACACAGAGTAACATGTTCTAGTTAAGTTTTAATACAATTTAGAAGCATTATAGATCCTTTTATACAGAAAGCTATCAGTCAAAAAGTGTAAAACTGTAATCTGTATATTCTCTGAGCTCTGGCCAATCGGAACAGGTGTAGAGCAGAGTTGAAAGGAGCAGAGACATTGTTGAGACAGTACTTGTAACTAATTACAATGACATAAGTACATTATACTTGATTACAAGTGAAAGTACAGCATTAAAAATGTACACAAAAAGTAAAAACACCCCAAACATCTACTCAGTTGTAGTTACTTGAGTATTCGTATTTACTTCCCACGTCTGTTTCTGATTCTTCTGACTTCATTTAAACCTAAAAGTCCATTGTTTGCGTGAGGCCGTGCAGTTGAGTTTACTGAGGCGTCCTGCATTCTTCAGGACAAAGATTTGCTTGCAGTTTCTCAGATTTTGGTAGGAACCTTTCGCAGTTTCCATTATTCTGAATTTTTCATAAGGAGGAATGAGCACCTCGCGCTCGTGAGGTAATGCCGAATAATCTTTTATGTAAGCGCCTAAGCAGGACCTAATTTGGAAGCATGTCTCTGTACCAAATGTCGTCAGGTTGGCGTTTTTGGAAGTTGAGGTGAAAGAACCAAATCGGATTTCTTGGTTTTTTTGACCTGTAAATGTATCTTTGCTTCTCCGATAGGTGGTACGGCATACTTTGTTAATTCTAAGTATCTGTAAAGCAGAAACCAGCCAGTAGTGTAAAGCGTGGTATTTGAATGCATTAGTGGTATAATTGGCTGCACTGACTCGAACTGCTGCATTAAAGGGTTCATAGACATTAGGCCACGCTGCAGTGTAGACGCACAAAGCTTGGACCTGATCTTTGGTCAGCATCTTGTTCTTTCTTGTATTATATTTGTTATTTGCACAGGACTCTGCTTGCTTCCACGCTTTGCTGAATAACTGATTATTCTTCTTCTCTCTGGGGAAGTACGTCCTCTTGACCTTTTTAGCCATTGCCTCACTGCAGCCGTCGTACATGTCGTCAACCGATTGGTCCATCATACTCAGGGGAATTGTGCCAGATTTTTGGGACTCCTAGACAATTTAAGGGGGAAAAAAAAAAATACCCAGAGTTTTAAAGGAACTGAACAGGACACAGCCTAACTGTGAACCAGATATGAGGCAGACATGTTCAAATCAAATACAACTTTTACTGGTAACAAGTGGAATTCTGATTTAATTTTCAATTCTCCCCCAAAATTTGACCCATTTATTTGTTGTTTTGGTTCATTCAGAAAGCAAAATAAGCCTCACATGAGTCTCTCATTTGTGTTGCCAGTTTCAATGCTGAAATCCAGTTTGTTTTAAACCTAAAATGTGTCTCTCTGATCTGAACGGTCACTACCTAAACCCCAGCACTGCAGCCTCTGCAGCTCAGTGTATGTGTCCATATACTGACAATGAGGAGAACTTGTATGTGTCCTCAATCTGCAGGTTAAGGCTCTGACAACTCAGGTTCAGTTGTGATTGTAGTATCTTCAAAAAATAAAATAGAATAAACCTCACCACTGCAGAAGGTAACACCAGGCAAAGCATCAGTGCCAGCACTGTGGTCTCCATGTCTGTGGACTGACACAGAAAGCATAGCATTAAACAATTTAGAAGAGTTAGAGAATAAACTTGATGCTCTTACCTCAAGTCCACTGCAGACTGATGTCTGCAGGTCACCACTTCACTGCTCTTAAATAGGGAAGATTGTGTTCTCATCAATGTAGTGTAATTCCTGGTAGCTAACACCTTCTACAATAAACAGGAACCAAGACTGACATTAGTGTTAACCACCCCACTCATTTTGTTCACTTATGAGATGCACCCACTCTAACCATACAAAAATACTTAACAGTGTTCAGTTTATAAAGTTTTTAGGAGGATAGATAGTGGATCCTCAAATACATCCATGAATATTTAAGGTGCAAGCTATGATCTCTTGTGGTTCTTAGCTTTTTTCCATTTTGGATGTTTTTATTGCACTGAAAAACATGTGCCCTTACACTGGGCAGGCTTGCATCTCCACAAACCTGAATCTCTTTGACCTGAAGGACGGCCTAGTCCTGCTTGTTTTCTTAGAGTTGTTATTGCTGTGGCTTTAATTTTCCACAATATCTGTCTCTGTCTCCATGGAGAATGTTTCAGACATGGTCTTACCTTTCTACAGGAGTAAGTGACATGATACCTCCAGAAAGTTACAGTTTTGCTTTAATATATGAAGTCTAAACTGGCTGTGTCCCCTGACAGTAATACACAGCTTCAGATTGTTCTGTGGTTAAGTTTGCTCAACTTTCATTCTCCAGCCCAAAGATTGTCATACATTCTGTCATTAATTACACACACACAACCAGGCAAATATTTTTTAGTTTATCTCCTGATTTGTCCTTGGTTCTCTTGTAGGTGGTTTGACATGGCTTTTTATTGTTTTCACTAATGATCTGCAGGGCAGAAGTGAGTCAAAAGTGTAAAGCGCAGTATGGAAAGTCCCCACTCATGTAATGAGCTGCTCTGTTTCTGACCATATGTACACTTTTTACATTTTATAGACAAAAGCAAGAGAGTAAATGTATGGTGCCAGACAAACGGAATTATGTAACAAATTGGAAAAAAGTTAAATAACTTAATTAAATATACTGATTTTATTTTAAAATCCTCAACCTTTGCTTTGTTGACAGCGCCGCAAATTCTTGACCTCTCAAGTAGTGTCTGTTTTTGGTTGAAGTCATTTGTCACCTCTTGTTGGTGAGACACATTAACCACTTCTTTTAACACTTAAGACTGATACTGCTGCAGATGCAAGGATATGCTAATGATTACTAAGGTCACCTAAAAATACATGTTCACAAACTTATAGTCAGAGGTGGGTAGAGTAGCCAAGTAGGACTCAAGTAAGAGCAACGTACCTTTTAAAATAATATTAATCAAGTAGAAGTAAAAAGAAGGTTCAAGAAATTATTCAAGTAAGAGTAAAAATGTAATATAAAAACTTACTTAACACTATGTGGTATTTTAAAAAAAACCAAGTCACTGTCTTGTAAATATAATAAAAGCTCTTTATCGGTTACATGGAACAGGTCCATCCATCCATCCATTTTCTTTCGCTTATCCGGGGCAGGGTCGCAGGGGCAGCAGTCTCAGCAGGGACTCCCAGACTTCCTTCACCCCAGACACTTCCTCCAGCTCCTCCGGGGGAACCCCGAGGTGTTCCCAAGCCAGCCGAGAGACATAGTCCCTACAGCGTGTCCTGGGTCTTCCCCCAGGGCCTCCTCCTGGTGGGACATGGCAGGAATGCCCAGGAGGCATCCGGAACAGATGTCCGAGCCACCCCAACTGGCTCCGCTCGACGTGGAGGAGCAGCAGCTCTACTCCGAGCTCCTACATGGAACAGGTAAAAGAGAAAATAGTATAGTAAATATTATGGAAGAGGGAGTATCTGGGAGAACAACTACTCAATTAAGAGTAATTTTCAGAGCATAACATCTGATTTATAATTTGAAGTGAATGTGATTTGAAAATATCAGATTTTGTTCATGTTTTTCCTTCAAAGGATGGACACAACAATGAGAAAATCATATCAAGGAGAGGTCCCAGAAACATATGTCCATGAAATGTTCAAATAATTTCAGAGCTTTCATGATACCTCTCGATATCATGAAAGCTGTGACGAACGAAAAAAAA